CGCCAACTACCCTTCCCGTGCGCCTCCCCTTTTTAGAGAAAGGGTCGGCGGATTTTGTTAGCATCCCCTGGTCAGGTTAAACCAAGTAGCAGACCTGCCTTGGTCCAACACAAGCAAGCCAGCCCTGTTGGTTATCTCCATGCTTGCTGCAGGCAAGGCTCAGTATTGAGCTGTTTGGTCAGGTTTTCCGTTTTGGGATTTGCTTGGAGAGATGGCTGGCCCGCTCGAAGCCGCTCACATCCACAAAAGCGCAAGAGCTGAAATAAAAAGGTTCACAAAATCCCTCCTTGGGTAGTAAAAGGGTCCATCCTCTCCTTGGGTACTGAAAAGGGTTCCAAACTAAAAAGGTGTTTAGCCATATAGGCATCCTTTTAGGGGAAATAGATGGGTTTGTCTGGTAGATGATTAAATTCAAGCCGTCAAATTTGGCTCCTCTCCAGGAATCCGCGGTGAGGCAGTATGTGTGGAACGGGACCTGGCTGGAGAGCCGGCCGTTGGCCAAGAGCCGGCGCTTGTCCGAAAGGGCGGCACGCCTGGAGGAAGAGCTGCCGGAGATTTTCGCCCACTGGGGTGCCCAGGCTGAACCTTTTTTTTTTTGTTGGTTATATGGAACTTGTTTTATTTTTATTTTTAATGAAACCCGTTTTTTATTGCCCAAGAAGAGGGTGAACCTTTATATTACCGGGTTGTTTCGGTCGAAAAATTGATGGCGATTCCTGGTTTATTTGGTGGTTTAATCATCTACCAGACAAACCCATCTATTTCCCTAAAAGGATGCCTATGGCTAAACACCTTTTTAGTTTGCAAGGCGAGGATGGACCCTTTTACTACCCAAGGAGGGGTTTTTGTGAACCTTTTGATTTCAGCTCTTGACCTTTTGTCTCGGCGCGCGCCGTTGATGAAGCTGAAGAGCAAATTATTAGATGGCAAGCCCACAGCTGGCAACCTCCCCCAAAGTTGCAAATCGCATGGGATGTAGCAAGGCTGCGGACACTTTAATCAGGCAACAGCAGCAAGGCCTTCCCAAGGCTATGTCCTTGTCACCGAACGCAAAAGAAGTTGACGCCGGCGGCCGCATGCATTTTGAACCCGTCCGAAGCAAGCTTTTATTTAAATCTTTGGTTGATGTCGTGTCGGACATTCTTGTTTTTTTTGGCTTGGTGGTGGGCTCCCTAGAACAAGAGTCCCAGTTGAAGTTGTGGCCAAAGTCCTGGTTGAAGTTCTGACAGAAGCCATTGAGCGATGACGATTCCCTCAGCGATCATCAGCCTTTTTGAAGGGGGTTCCTGTATTGAGCACTGAACTTCTGGTGGCTAGGGCGACCTTTGTGTTAGCAAAGAGTTTGCAATACAGGTGCAACTCTGAAACATAATCAAATTTCCCGGGGCTGATAGGGGGCTCAAGCTAGCACATTTTCGGCGTGAAATTCGTGGCGCCCCACAGTTTTCGTCAACCCGATTTTGATTCCTTGCCGGGACTCTACTGCTTGTGGGATTGCCCCTTCAGAACACGAGACGCAGTCGAAGGTGCCAGGCACCAGAGGGTGGTTCGCACTCATGTTGGCGCGCAACGCTTTCTGAGCTAGCAGGGCAAACTACGAAGTGAAACATTTCCGAGGCAGGGAGACAAGCTGAATTCAGGGCATGCTGTGTGAACATTGGGCGGTTTTCTTTCGCGTTGCCGTTTTCTCGTGTCCAACCTGAGGTCAGCGCCGTCTGCTGCGGGTAGGCATTGCTTTGTTGGCTTGCCACCCGGTAGTGCAAATTTTTCATGTCTCCTTTCACACGACCTCGGCCAAGCGTGCAGTGATCTTCACTGCTTTCCTCTCTGGCTCTTTGGCGGTGTCTGGGCTCTTTATGTCAGCTTCAGGGGCTGCACTGGACTCCACCAGCGACCTAGAGTGCACGATCGACGAGAATGTGATGCAGTTTGTGGTCATTGGGCTCGTCTCGATGTTGCTGAATGCTCTGCCCCGCATGTGCCTCGATCGCATGGGCAGGCGATCCTTTGCTCCCGAGACCAAGGCAAACAGCCAATGGAGAGCGTGGCTGCGCAATGATGTCCTGTTCTGGCTTCTTGCAGCAGCCTTACTCAGCTTCTACTTGCTTTTCATATGTTCTTTCTTGGCGAACATCGCGAAGTCTGAAGATTGGAAATGCACCGTGTCCTTTGCTACAATCCTGGTGGGGAAGCTTTGCACCACTCCAGCGACCAGAGTGTGTATTCAGCTGTCCTGCGCTGAAGCAACTCTGTTTCTTTTTCCCGATCTGACGGCACGTGAGCTGGGATTGCACGCGCATGGACAGGCTGGCCAAGCAAGCGATGCCTCGCAGAAGGTGGTTGAGCTCGCCAACCGCGGGATCCGGGTACGGCACTTGCTGGACTTCTACGAGAAGGTTCTCCAGCGGGACTTCTTCGACCCGGACCGGTCAACGACCCACGACGTGGTCCGGCATGCGATCATCCCTTGGTCTCTGAAAGTCAGCACAACTTGGTGCGACGCAGACGAGGTCCAGCTTGAGCTCAAGGCCGTGGATGCCCAAGTCCCCCAAGAGTTCGGCGATGTCGCCAAGTCCCTGACGAGCTCATCTGAGTCTGAGCCGCTCGGCAGCACTTGGTCTCCTCGTGAATCTCTCTCTCTCTCTCTCTTATTGGCCGGGGTCACGGTCTTGGGATCCGATCAAAACGACCGGTTCTTTGGGCAAAGTGTTCTGCGAGGGGGAAGTGGGAGGGCCCAGCCCAGGGATTCACCCCGAAGCAGAGGCCCTGGGTCAGGTCGCTCGGCGCAGCTTACGCCACGGTGGTCAACGGGGAACCGGTGGCTGCTCTGAAATTGGTGATCCACGGCTGGGGCAACCTTTTCCGTGGCTTGGCAGCTTCCCGCATTGATGCACAAAGGCATCAACCAAGCACAACTTGTCAGCCAACATTCTAACCTTGAACTTGTACATGCTGCAGTTCTTCCTTGGAACCCCACCTGTTGTTTGTTTTAGACTGTGCGCGATGTGTGCCGCATTCTTTTTCCACTCGGGCCAGTTGAGGGTCACTTGGGTCTCGCGGCTGGCTTGGTTCAGCTGGGTCATCTGCTGCCACGCAAGTCATTCGACCCAATTGACCCAATTGACCCAAGTGACACAAGTGCGCGATCGCGGGGAGTCTTGCGCCGTGACCGGCTGCCACGACCACAGGTTCTAAATCATCCCACGTGGGAATCATTCACACACAAATCAAAAGGATCCAAAAGATTGCTTTGAGACATTGTGCAAAAATGAGGCACCCTGCTGGCTGCAGTCTTTGCAGATGCGCTTGGGCACACGGACTACGACGAAACCCTGGAACTGCTGCGAGAGCAGGGCTTGAAGACAATCCGTGCACAGCTGTCTTCGCTGAACAAGATGGACTTTCCATATTGGATTTGCGAGACTTGGCATGGATGTTGACCAGTGAATAAGGCGTAAAAATGCAATTGCCCTGGAATGGGCCTTGCCGCTGTTGGCAGGCATCCCCGCACCGATGAAAGCATTGCAGTTCCGACTGTGGCGAGGAAGTTCTTGTAAATCACAGCTGACATTTGGTGGATTTGTTCGACTGAACGCCAGATGCACCTCGCTTTTCACACTTTAGGCTTAGTTTGTTGTGTTCTGATTGCGCAGCTCAACAAATGCCTGGTGTTCCCCCCCCCCTTCAAGAGAGAGAGAGAGAGAGAGAGTGAGAGAGGGAGAGAGAGACACAGAGAGAGAGAGAGAGAGAGAAAGAGAGAGAGATGGAGAGAGAGGGACAGGGAGAGGGACCAACAAACAAGCTTGGTGCACGAAAAATCGATCTTCATGCGAGCCAGCGAGCCATTTGGCTGGGGTCCCGCAATTTTTCTGCAGGTTCCCTTGGATGCTCAGGCCTTTTCGGTGAACCAGCACGCGGGCATTTGCGGCCAGCCGCCAGAAACGGATTCTATTGGCAGAAGCATCGCCGCCTGTGGCTGTGAGACACCGAAGCACCGCACGGGGGACGAGTGCGAGACGAACAAGCGCCCATGCTGCAGGATCGAGCCAGATTGAGCTAGGGAGAACTTTGAAAAGTTGGTTTGGGGCAAGTTTGACTTTGGGTAAGAGATGCTGAAAGTGCTGCAATGCCAGGGCTGCCTTCACAGTTGAACAGAGTTTGTTTCAGGGAAGCTCCTTGAGATCGTGTTGGATGACTTGAGATAGGGACGCTCACTCATCGTGAAACGCACCGTCACGTGCATGCAAATCCATGATTGCCATACCGTCCTTCCCAACGAGCCCGGAAACAAGGTTTTGGCAAACCCTACGTTTCCTGAAGAAAGTTCCTGAAGAAAGTTCCCCACGCTTCGTGGGAAAAGGATACCTCAGGTTCCACGAGCTGGTGGAGTACATGTGCAAGTTCAACTCCGAGGAGCGCAAGGCCGGCCGGGAGATGCAGCGCTTGGGTCAGGTGGTGGCGGTGGACATCGGCTTCAACCTCTTCAACCGGCTTTGGTGCGTGGCCGAGCTGTCGCACGCGGAAAAGCTGCCTCTTGGCGATGGTGGTCCTTTTTTCGCCTTGTGCCCGGCGTTCATCCTGGCTTGGTCTCTCTCTGCTTTGGTCGTTTTGGGTCGCGAGCTTGGGCTTTGGCGCGGCGACGGTCGCCTTTTGGGAAATCAATGTAACATAACATGCGAACACCCTCCGGCTCGGTTGGGGGGGGGGGGAGGGCAGCGGGGCGGGGGGCAGAACAACACATGTGCGAAACGAGGCTCCAGCCAAGCCCGCTTTTCAGCCGCCTCCATTTGGGTATGGTTCAAAATTAAAAACCACCAGAAAGCCACAGGTTTCAGCGGGTCCCATTTTACCAGGGTGCCATGGGGCGGCCATCTCTGGGCTCGGAGGCATCTCCCGCAAGCCTTGAAGCTGCACTCCTGCAGCTCCAAGGAGCGCTGCTCCCTGGCTGAGAGGCGGGCCTCGCTCGTGTGGCCGTGGCTGAAGCCGATGGCATCCCATTTTTGGGGTAGGTGAGTTGCACCGCCCATTTTAGTCGGGATTTTCAGGGGGGATTGGGATGTTCACTGGGGGTACGCTTTGGATTTTGAGCCATGGCCATGTGACAAGGGTATTTGTCCAACATGGGGGTGAAGGCCTTCCGTGTTTGGAGGTTGAAGTTTCCCAAGCCGACACGATACTCCAGGCGTTGACAACCCGACCCCGAAAGGGTGTGGGCTCATTTGGCATGCCCGTGCTCCTTGACCAAGTCACCCTGTGTGTGCTAGCAACCCCAAATTAAATCCAGCTTTGCGAGTGTCAGTGGCTTTCCTGGTAGGTCAGCAAGATGGGTGAGTCATAAATAAATTGCTCCTTGCCTCTGCCTGCCAGAGATCCAGTTGCCCTATGGGTGAGGCGTAGTCTTTGCAGCGACTCGCTGCAAAGTGAGTCGCTGCAAAGTAAATCGTGAAGGTTTGACTCCCTGGATCGCTTTCGCAGTGCTTGAGAGGTTGCCTCATGATCTTTAAAATGTGTGTCTCACTGCTTAAAAGCGTCGAGTTTGTCGCAGGACAGTTTAGGGGAACACCCCATACCGTACCAAAAAAAGCAGCTGGGGGTTGACTATGGGTGTCATGACAGTACCTTCAAGAAGAACGCCGAGGCTTTGAGAAGCTGCACCACTTGGACGTGCAAGCGGCGGAGGTCACCTACGAGGAGGACCGGGAAGTTGCCCCCTGGCCGTTTTGCCCTCAGTTTTTTTTGGTAAACCGGAAAGGCGTTTTAGTTTTCGCCTTGTTGCTTGTTCTTTGGCTGTGGATTGCTCTGACGGTGTTCCATGGCAAAATCAGCTTGTGTTTCTTCTCATGTTTGCATGCGTTCTTTGCCATGGTGATATGAGTTTCCTGTGTGACGAAGCCATGCTTTACTTTTCCTAAGAGAGAAACCGGCATGGCGTGTAGTGGCCTGCTGTGGTTGGACGTGGCGTTAAGTTTGAATTTTATTTGATGTCCTTTTGCCTGTTTAATTTCGTCCAGTCTTTATGTTGCCGCTTTGAGGGGCATGTCTGCTTTCTGCTTTCTTGCTTCGTTGCATGTTTTGTTTTGAGTTTTCACATTTGCAGTTTCCCAAGGTTTTGGAGAAGATCGGAGATTCGGAGCTTTTCAATGAAGAGCTCAAGGGCCTGATGTTTAACCAGCTGGACGGTTTCCTGTTTTCCGAGCGCGGAAAGCTAAACCTCGAGGAGCTCGTGAGCCGCGTTGTCGACTCGCTTTGAGACGGGTTTGGTGCCTGTGGTCCAGGGTCCGTGGGAGAGTTGAAGCAAAACAAAGCAACTGCTTTGCTGATGAGATACCCGACCAACAGTACACACCAAACAAAAGGTGACGAGTAATGATATTGGTGCAACTCCCACAAGGACATCCTGTTTTGACCTCACGCAATGGCACATTCCGCAAGTCGTGGCTTAGTGTGAAGTCTCACTACCACATTTTTCATTGGGCGCTTGTGTCGCTTGATTCGCGCCCACCTATTGCTTGGCAGCACTTGCACCTGGCTGACGTTGACAACCCCAATGTGGTTGTTACCATTTTCAGCATCGCGCATGCTGACCGGCAGGTTGCACAATTCGGCCACAGCATTTTCTGGGGACCACATGCGAGCAGCTGTTGAATGGGGCTGGCAAAGAGGACAGCTTTGCAAAGTCTGGCTCGGCTCTGCTTAGTCAGTGGAGCCAAGATCTCACCCGAATGCGGCACACAAACGTGATCAGCCAAGCTTGCCTCAGTACACTTACCCAATCATATGTCCATGGGTCAAAATCCCGCACCCCCTGTGAACATCCCAATCCTATTGGTTTTGACCCACAGCCATATTGCTCGGATGCTCCGACAAACAAATTATTGTACACCTTTTGTCCTGGTGACAACTCTCACCCATTCCTTTGGAGCAGCGCCTCACGGCTGTCAGTATGGCGCGTATTGCTGGGGAGGGTGAGTGCTTTGGACAAGAGTGGCCATCCAACCGCATTTGGGCGAATTGCCTACAGGATCCTGCAGGCCATTCGCTTTGCGAGCGCCAGCCCACAGGCTGAGCTGACGCTCCATAGCTGCCTATTCGCAGCATCTGCTTCCGAAGCCGCATGGGCATGCCCATGGCGAATCCGATTCCTTGCTGGGAAAAGCCGGCGTCATGGGATGCCGGAGCAAGAAGGGCCGCAACTCTGCCCTGCGGACTGCGAAGGGCTTGAGATGTGCGCTGGGTCTCCCCATTGCTCGACCAGTTTGCTAACTTTGGGCTCAGTGAGTGGTGAATGATTTGCCGAACGGATCAAATGCTGCGCTACGCATTCCGTTTTGATCGGCGTCTGATTTGCAACAATTGTGCACCGCAGAGTGAACACTAAGCCAACATCCATTGCAAAACTGCCATCAACATATTGGCACCGTTCCTGTCCCAGCAGGTGCAAAGAAGTGTTACTAACTCTTCTGGAGGCTGCGGGTGGTCCACGGGCCACTCGCAATGAACCTGAGCGCCGGGCCGGGGCGCATGGCGGGCAATGGAGGAGCGGCATCGCCATGTGTCACGTCCAGGTTGGAGTTTCCTTCCAAAAATGGGGTGACTCCAAGGTTGCCTGCAATTCCGTTTGCAGCGGGGCACTCCACCTCTGCAATGTTGAATAATTTGCATTCGGGATACCCTTGGACTGCAAGATGTGCCTGCACCTGACGCAGCAGCACCTGATGAGCCCCCGCTTGAGGCTTTCGACATGTGAGATCTACTTAGGCAACTTCAGTCAAAAGAGCTGATTCGGCCATGCGTCATGCGCGCACGCAGGGTTGACTTGATGAAACAACTGGGGCCCGACAACGGCTTTTGTCCGCAACTTGGACTCGACAACCCTCTAGCTTTCCCATTTGAGAAGGGCCGTCTTCAGTGATACGTGCAGCCATTTTTTAGGCCAAGCCAAGCTTCAGCCCCCGTTGGTTCCGCCTGGCTTCAGGAGCTCCGTGAGATCGACGTGGTGGATCTGCAAAGCCGGATCTCGGTGTGCCAGCCTCAGTTGCAGCTCGTGATCAGACGCTCGTGTTTTGAAACGGTTGCAGTTTCCTTGGCTCCCTGCAATTGTTTCTGATTGTCGAGGGTCTGTGCGGGGTGTTCTTTGAGCCTCATGTGGCTGCATAGCTTGCCATGAAGCTTGATGATTTAATTGGGAAGGCAAAGACAAACAATGTCAAGCGAGGCTCCTTGGGTTGGTCTGATTGGGCCAGGCTACTGCTGTTGTGGAGTTTGTCACCTTTCTGCTTTGCCTTCCTGCTTGCTAGTGGTGCAGCCTTTTCCGAGAAAGATTTCTCGAGCCTGTCCCCTCCTGGACACTACTCAACATGGCGCGCTCTAGTGCAGGGGTGCTGGCAATCATGCTTGCCCTGGTAGTGGCACTGTGGGGCAGCGACCTTCGTTCTTTCTGTGGCAACATGGCACTCAGCCCGCGCAGCCCCACAACTGCGTGCAAGGGATGGCGCTTGGACAAGATAGAAGTGGGTCCTGGCGGGATTGGGCAGCTGGTGGTCGCGGAGGGCTTCTTCATTGGTGAGAAGGACATGTACAAGATGATCAACTCGCAAGGGCGCCGCTACCGCCTTCGACCCAGCGCGGAGGATCGCAAGGCCGGAAAGACTGTCCCAGGCATCTTCCAGCTTGGCCCATTCAAGATCCACCTTGAGCAGTGCTTCCGTGGTTCAGGACAGGGCTCGGCCCTCGCTGACTTTGACAACAGGTTCCCTGCATGAGGGCCACGCAGAGATTCAAATGCCGTGTTGCGTCATGTTGGGGCAATTTCAATTAGACCCACAGACCCGTTGCAGGAGGTGAGGTTGACCTTCCTCGTCCAGAAGGCTACTCTGGCAACGGCGGCATGGCTGGCTGGGCTGACGATCTTCCAGTCAAGAAGCTGGGCTACGGCCGCTGAGAAAGAACTGCTCTTTGAAAGTTTTCGGGCAGACACACGCTGCTCTTAACGTAGCGAGCAACTGCCAGGATGTGCACCTGTGCCGGAGAAACAGACGAAAAGGTAGAGTAGGGATTTAGCATGATGTTCTTCCCATTCGGCTATGCAGGAGTCAATGCCACAGGACGTGCCAGAAAACCTCCTTGCCTCAAGGCGTGAAAGCCTCCGGCCCCCACCTGAACACCCATCCGCCACGGTAGAACTAGCTGTCAGAAACCCAAAGCAGGGCACTTGAATCCTCATTGTAGCTGCGCATGCCAAGCTGCAATGAACCAATCCTTGACGTGCTATGTCTGGCCGCATGCTGGAAGGTCCGACAAGAGGCAACTGAGAGAGTCACCTAGGAATCCAGCCCAGTCAGCTTAAAAATGGAGAGCAACATGAATCACTCCTATGCATCCATTGCTGTTGATTGAAGCTTTGAGCCACGCTGCTGCAGCCTTTTCCAAGAAAGATTTCGGGAGCCTGTCCCCTCCTAGACACTACTCAACATGGCGCGCTCTAGTGCAGGGGTGCTGGCAATCATGCTTGCCCTGGTAGTGGCACTGTGGGGCAGCGACCTTCGTTCTTTCTGTGGCAACATGGGACTCAGCCCGCGCAGCCCCACAACTGCGTGCAAGGGATGGCGCTTGGACAAGATAGAAGTGGGTCCTGGCGGGATTGGGCAGCTGGTGGTCGCGGAGGGCTTCTTCATTGGTGAGAAGGACATGTACAAGATGATCAACTCGCAAGGGCGCCGCTACCGCCTTCGACCCAGCGCGGAGGATCGCAAGGCCGGAAAGACTGTCCCAGGCATCTTCCAGCTTGGCCCATTCAAGATCCACCTTGAGCAGTGCTTCCGTGGTTCAGGACAGGGCTCGGCCCTCGCTGACTTTGACAACAGGTTCCCTGCATGAGGGCCACGCAGAGATGCAAATGCCGTGTTGCGTCATGTTGGGGCAATTTCAATTAGACCCACAGACCCGTTGCAGGAGGTGAGGTTGACCTTCCTCGTCCAGAAGGCTACTCTGGCAACGGCGGCATGGCTGGCTGGGCTGACGATCTTCCAGTCAAGAAGCTGGGCTACGGCCGCTGAGGTCAAGTCGACCCACATTTTTTTCCAAAAGGCAGTGCCTGGTGCCTGACATGAGGTGCTGCAGATGAAAAGGAAAAAATCAGATGGGAGAGGAAGAAGAGTACTGATGAGCGGAGATCCTGGGCCCTCCAGGACATTGTGATATTCGTTATCAACTTCCCCTTGTCAGCCACTGTTCTTGTCGGATTGATTGAACTCCCTAATTTCAGGCTGCGGAAATGCTCGCTTAGAACAATTTTCGGAAGAGCCACCCCCAATGTAGTGCAGACAGCTGTCCTAGTGTTTTGTTTTTTGGTGTGTGTGTCTTGGAACGATCCGCAGTATTGGACATGCAAGCAGCTTTCGACTTGTAGATATTGCCGCCACAGTTTTGTACAGTCAGTTACAACATTTCAGGGGTTCTGGGTGTCTGCCGAAAGGCCTTCTTTTCCTTCTGGCAGAAGTTTGCCTGATCTGGATCACGGTGGGTGCGCAAGTCCTGTTTTCCTGAGGTGCCATGTGGAGATCCAGGCCTTCTGGTGGGGGGGCTGGATACGCAAGCCCTTTGTTGAAAGCCCCCAGGCTGGGCGGCTTGGGACGTTCAGCCCGGGGCTTGTCCTCCCGAAGGCCAAGGCATTCCCAGCAGATTCCTTAGGCTTGCCACTGGAAAATTGGCAGCGAAATTGAAGGGGTTTCCGGGATGGGTTCTTGCACATGCATCTTCATGCCACATGTGCGACGCAATGGCTTTCCCCATTAAATGTCACTTCACGGGAAGTGCATGAAGCCTTTGATCCTCATGTGCTCGAGGGGATGTCTTGGAAGGCTGCTGGAAACATGGACAGCCAGCCACACAATGCCTTGATTCAAGTTTCACCATCAGACTCTGGGATCAGGCGCTGTCGTTATCAATGCGCAGGTAAGGCCGAAACGGCAGTGAAGCCCTGTCAATTGAGGCGTGGAGCCTGCAGGAGTGCCCATCGGGGTTCGGGGGTTCGGGCGCGAGTCTCACGGAATTCGCCAAAATTAAAAGTTCAAATCGGTTTGTCGAGTGACACATTGGCCCCACAACAGGAGAACAAACACAAACACAATTGCAGGGCCCATGTCCCCGTCCAAGGCATGCGCCTCCCGACTGGAGTTGACGTTACCCGGGGAAGCTGCTGGGGAAGGGCATGCACCTGCATGCAAGCACAAGAAGGTGAGTAATGAGCAACAATCCCGGCGCATGTCATTTTTTCAGCATGCAGCTGGAAAAAAAAAACGACGCCGTAGGGCGCCAAAGTTTCTTTGGCCGACCCAGGCGTTTCATCCGACGGTCCCCCCCCCCCCCCAGCCGCCTTTCGCTCCTTTGAGTTCGCCAGGAGCGGCGCGCGGCGGAGAGCCTGGCGCTGGAGGCGGCGACTTTGGAGCGCCTGCAGAAGGCGCTGAGGGCCGAGGAGGCCGCCACGGCGGGAGCCGCAGAGGCGGGAGGCGGGAGGCGCGAGGTGCAAGCGACGTAGCGGATGACGCCGCGGGGTCTAAAAAGTTGGTTCTTGTTGAGTCCGGATCCTTGGGGCAAGTGAGATGGAATAACAGGATGACAAAGGATCAACTTGACCAGAGAACGCCAAACAAAACAAACATGTTGGACAGCCTGTGCTGCACCGTGCTTCTCCTTTGTGAGTCGGAGAGGTGGGTACAGTACGTCTCAATGGTTAGAGGAAGTGATTTCAGCTAAGCATGACAATCTTCCTTGTGATGTTGCAATGAACAGCTAGATTGGGCATACCAAGCTCAATGGCTAGCGTGTGTCCGGCGAGTTTGTTACACATCTTGCTAAATGAGGGGCCATGAGAGCAGAGGCAGCTCACATTCGCTGCACACTACGTAGCAAGACTCCAGCACAACCTCTTCACTGGCTACCTGCCCCCTGTTGCATACTCTTTCCTGGCAGTTTGGTTTGTCCAGCTACTGTAGCTTGCTTGATGCGTCACAGTAAGAACCCGCGCGGTCGAGGACCGACCGGCTTCACTTGACAAGCATTGGTTGACCTTGCATTGATTTGGCACGCTGCTGATGGTGGCTTGGGTTCGGGAATGTTGCAGGCAGCGGTAGGGTTCGTGGTCTTTGGCATTCTGGGCAAGCCCAAACTTCGCCAAGCTTGGCCCCACAAGTGCTGACAAGGCCCTTTTCTTCTTGTGGCTTTCATTTTAAACCAACACTGTTATGACGGAAGTTTGCTCTGCCCTGGGAGGTAGTCCTCAAGACTCCCGGGGCCTGGTAGAGTTGCTTCATGCACACAGCGACTTCTAAGTGGAGGGGTATTTATTTTAGGTTTTTTTTTTTTTTCCCCCCCGTTTTTTTTTGGGATTTTTTTTCGCTTTTGGCTTCTTGGCTTCTTGGCTTCTTGGCTTCTTGGCTTCTTGGCTTCTTGGCTTCTCGGCTTCTTGGCTTCTTGGCTTTTCGGCTTCTTGGCTTCTTGGCTTCTCGGCTTCTCGGCTTCTTGGCTTCTTGGCTTCTTGGCTTCTTGGCTTCTTGGCTTCTTGGCTTCTTGGCTTTTCGGCTTCTTGGCTTCTCGGCTTCTGGGCTTCTAGGCTTTTCGGCTTTTTGCTGGTTTATGCGGCTTTTGGTGGCTTTTTGGCTTTTCGCATCCTCTGCATTCCCAGTTCCTCTTCGGCAGGTGGCGTTTTTCCGACATCATGGGGGGGGCTGCCGCCCCCCCCAACCCCCCCGCTACGTTTTAGATTTTCTGCAGAGATTTAATTAGTTGCACCCCTAGTTGAATCATCAATTCTTCGAACATCATGGGGGGGTTGCACCCCTAGTTGAATCATCAATTCTTGAACCATCATGGGGGGGGCTGCCGCCCCCCCCAACCCCCCCGCTACTTTTTAGACTTTTTGCAGAGATTTAATTGCACCCCTATTCAAATCATCACTTCTGGGATTGACATGCCCTCCTACTTGAATCATCATTTCTTTGACCCCGTCACACGATTTGTGGGTGATGCTAGGGATGTTGGTGGGACATGCGGGGTATATTTCGCGAGAACATGCTGTAAAATACGACACTTTACTGGCCCGGCAGGGATTGAATTGCACCCCTGTTTGAATCATCACTTTTTCGAGCATCCAATTTCGCGAGAAAATGCTGCAAAATACGACATTTTAGGTAATCTGTGTAGTCCGTGTATGTCTGTATGTATGCATTTCTTCGAACATCATAGGGGAAGCCACCCCCGCCAACCCTCCCGCTGCCTTTTAAATTCTATCACACCCTTTCTTGAATCATTGCACCCCTACTTGAATCACCACTTCTTCCGACCTCATGGGGGGGCTGCCGCCCCCCCCCAACCCCCCCGCTACGTTTTAGATTTTCTACAGAGATTTAATTAATTGCACCCCTAGTTGAATCATCAATTCTTCCAACCCCCCCGCTACTTTTTAGACTTTTTGCAGAGATTTAATTGCACCCCTGTTCGAATCATCACTACCCCGCTCTGTTTTTCTTAATTGTTTTTTTGTATTTTTTTTGCTGGGATTGAAATGCCCTCCTGTTTGAAGCATCATTGTTTTGACCCCGTCAACCCGCCAGCTACATTTTTGGATTTTGTTACCCACGATTTGTTGGTGATGCTAGGGATGTTGGTCGGACATGCGGGGGATGTTGAAAACGATGCTGGGGATGTTGACGAGCTAGTGTAAAATGCGTCAATTTCGCGAGAAAATGCTGTAAAATACGACATTTTGCTGGCCCGGACGAAAAACGAAAAAAAAACCCCAAAACAAAACGAAAAAAAATCCCAAAATAAATCCGCACCCGTTCTAAGTACAAATGATCGTGTGGCTGTTCTTGAAGAAGTGTCCGCTGTATGTCGGCCGATTCGGCGTTCCCGCAACCAGGCGGCTGAGTCGCAGAGAGTTTTGGCCCTCCAAGTCACTCACCGCTCGGAGCAGGCGGAGAGGGAGAAAGGGCACAGAAGGAAGCGGCTGGGAACTTGAGGGGACTGCGCCTGCAAAACCAGCAGCTAGATGTAGATCCAGCGTAGCCTAGAGTCTGGGGAGCCCCATCCGAAGCGTCCACCGCCTAGAACTCCCGGCTGCTACTACAGCTACTACGGCTGCCAATGGTACTGCTACTCCAACGGCCAACTGCGGCTGCTACTGCTACTGCTACTGCTGTTGCAACTCAATAGTTATCATAGCGTTACAAGCACAACAGAAGCCTACTATGATCACGCTATTCTTTTCCGCACCTATTTCTACCGCCACCTCCGCCGCCACTAGTGCTACTTCAACTGCTGCTCCTTCCTTTGCGTGCTAGTGCTGCCATCACTACTGCCAGTGCTATGCAGTGTTACAATTTCAATAAATGCTACTATCGCCACCCTCTGCTGCCACCAGCGCCACCGCCGCTCATGCTACAGAAATAGGTTCAAATTTCGAGTTGCAGCTGCGAGCATGTACTGCGTGGAGTTCGTCCGGGTTGAAACATTGCGGCGGTCGAAATTTGTTGCTTGGTTCTCTGCTTTTGCATCTTTGCGCTTGTGTCGCGTGGAATCCGATGACAGTTGCGTGGCTTCTGTAGGGCTACGAATTCAGCTGCACTTCGGCCAGGCGCGGCAGGGCCTGCGCCGGGCCCAAGGCGCCGGCGCGGAGCTGCGGGAGCAGCTGGACGCGCTGCGGCGCGCCGAGGTGGGGGGGTGTGGGGGAAGCGCAGCGCGGGGAGGGCTGCTTGCAACGGATGCCGAAGATGAGTTGCAAGGTTGGGGGGGGTTGGTTAAGGGGATTGGTTAGGGGGGTTGGTTAAGGGGATTGGTTAGGGGGGTTGGTTAAGGGGATTGGTTAGGGGGGTTGGTTAAGGGGGTTGGCTAGGGGGGTTGGTTAAGGGGTTGGTTAGGGGGGTTGCTCGGTTGGTGGAAGAGTTTCTCGTGAGCGGGGATTTTGGTTGCACCGGCCAAGTTGACCAATCCAGAGCCCCAGTGCCAGGGGTTTTGGTAAGGACACGTTCTCCTCAGGAGAGGAGCGCCTCCCCGTGAGTTTGTTAAATGCAAGTTGCATTTGCATAATAGGCCGTGCCCATTCCATTCGGGCGGGTGCCGGCTGCCCAGGAGGATTGCGCCTGGTGCTCCATCAAGGCTGGGTGGAACACACCACACGGCTCAACCGTTGCCAGACAAAGGGCCCGAGAGGGTAAAGATGCGCGGATTAGCTTTGGCAGAAACCGCTGCTCATGGGGGTTTCCTTGACAACTAGGCTTCGAGGCATTCCCTGGTAAATCCCTCTTTCACCGCAATGAAACCTGGGGCAAGACACCCTTTGAAGAGTGAGAGTTTGTTAGGTTCGGGTGTTTCTTCGGGTTGGGGGATCATCATGTTTGAAGGGTCGTGAGTCTTCACCTCGCACTCTGGTCTCTGCCTTGTGCTGAGGTCGGCCAGCTTTTGGGGAACCCTGAAACAAACAAGCCATTCATAGCACGCAACGCGTGATCAAATGGTGGTCCCACACTTGTGGTAAGAAGGGCATGGAAAGAGTTGTGCGGGGCGTCAGCGTTTCAAATTCCAGTTGGTTGTTTGGATTAGCAGCTTTCCCTTTGCCAGTAATTTTGCCAAGCCGTCAAATTGGTTCGCTTGGGTTGGGGTTGGCTTTGCTTTTGCCAGAAGCGGAGAAGCGGAGTACAGTTGCAAAGATAAGATGTCTGGAACTCGAAGCATCAACCCAGCACAAAGTGAGCTCACCCGGCACAACTGTGAACCCAAGAGCTGCTGCCTTTTGCACATGTCCTGGGCCAAAAGAGCCTTCTTAATTGGCTCCAGTCTTATGAACCTGTTCATACTGTGGACGAAATCCATTTCGCACCACTTAAAAAACCATGGTTGAAACCACAATGTTTGTCTGAATTTCCTTCCCCCCCAAACAAAGCAAAAACAACAGCAACACAAACACACACAGAGACCTCATTCCAAGGTGTCTTAGGTTGTGCGAAATGGATTCCGCAACCATCCACAGTCTCCCCAACCCCAGGACCAGCAGCGGCTCCAGCTGGAGCTTCGCGAGGCCCGGGTGGAGCACTGGTGGCGCCTCGATCGCGGGCCAGAGATTCGGAGGGTGGGGGTTTCCGGGTTTCCTCTTTTTTTTTCAGGGGGAGTTGGTTGAACTTGGTTGAACTTGGTTGAACTTGGTTGAACTTGGTCGGTTTCTTGGTCGGTTTCTTGGTTTGCTTCTCTTTGGAGTGCCGGATGGGTTCTCCATGTTTGGGCAACAACCGAGAAAACCAGCCTCGATTCGACCACCAGCGGTACCCCCCCCCCCCCCCCCGTTTTTTCCGCTGGGTTTCGCTTAGGGGTGCCCTCCAAAAAGGCAGGCCCTGTTTCGGATGAATTTGGAGCTTGGGAGGCGGTGCTCTCTCAAAAGGCCGCAGCGTGCCGAGGATTCAAAAGCGCTCGGAGGACGGATGTGGGGATGCACGCTGACGGGTGATGCGGACCATATATTAGGACACGCTTCGCAAGTCCTGGCCACTTGGCCTTGGCAAAGCTGGCATCTATGGCATGCCCCATGGCCATGCACCCCTGCAAGGTCCTTGAACAAAATGACACGTGCCCGCAGCTAGTTTGGAGCGCTCGAAGGGGTGTGTGGCAAAGACACTTGAACAATTGCTAAAGGTTGCAAGCGCTTGTGCCCATCAGAGCGAACATGGTTTTGGTTGGCACCTGCTGGCCTTGTCCTGGCACGTAGTCTTTTACGTGAAGCAGCTGCAAGAAGGTCAAGTTGGCATGACGTGATCAACTGCTGGTTTTGCTTTTGCGTTCCAAGCCCTGGTCATCGACCTTCTTCGTCCGGCGGGACCCCCCCCCGTCTTGCGAGGATGCGGCCCGGGAGCTCTGCGGCCTGCGGGAAGAGCGCCGGGACGCCGAGCCCAGGGTCGCCCCGCGCTTGGCTTTGCTTTCTTTTTGGGGTGGGCGACGCGGCGGTTCCCGGGGGAAAACTCGGTTGGCGACCCTCAAAGGCAGCGTGACCCTTGACGTTCATGGACGGTTTCCCAGAATGCGGCCGCACGCGTCGCCGAACCACGCTCGATGTTGAGCCTGTCCTTGGCGCATCGCCCGAGTTTTGGCGGCGGCTTCTCCCCTCGCAGGCGAGGCCTCGGAGCTGGAGGAGGGGAGCCTGTTGCGGAGGGAGCGGAACCTGGCCGAAGAGCTGTGCCTGGTCGGAGAGTCTGGTTGGTTCGTTTGTCAGCCCATAGCTCTCATTTGGGCCTGAAAGCTTGATATGTTGCAGAGCTACCTTTGGGCCATTGGCAGTTTGGTTGTTTGTGGCGTGCTTTGGGAGGGGGTGGGGAAAGGATGCAGAAGGGTTGTGAGTGGCCGGGCGGTGGTAGGTTGGGTATCTTCACTGCTTCCGGACGACCCACATAACAGCACCACAGGGAGTTGGGAGATGTTTGGCAGATGTTGGGAGATGTTGGCATTGAACTCCTAGCGCAGTGTTTCCTTTTTTTTCTTCTCCCAAGACTGGGCATATGTTGATCTGAACTCAAAACATGTTGACATGTTGGCGCCTAAAATCGATGAGCGCAATCTCAGGCGCGCTTGTGAGCGGCAGCTGCAGGGCCTTGGCCGTGGCGAGCAGGTGCCGGTGCGCGTGTGTGTAGTTGCGCGGGGATGGGCTTGCAACCATGTAAATTGCAAGCTTCCTATGCGCGCCGCGCATGGTCTTGCAAGATCGAGCTGTTGAGCCAAATGCGTGTAGTACATGCAACGCTACTGTGAGGACTGGGCATTGTCACTTTTGCTTGCGTGCGCATACAAGCGATGCGCAAACCCCGCGTGTTGAAAGGCCTGCAGTTGCTGAGCCATTTCGTGAGCAAGCGGGCGTGAGACGCTGTTGATTCCCGGCCTCGCAGACGCCTCGCGCGGCCTTCGCGCAAGAGCGGCGGCACAGGCTGGGTGCTTTGGCTCCACCTGCCAAAGTCTTCTTAACTCAGGCTTTCAGGTTAAGCGGCTTTGACCCTGCATGCCTTGGATAGTTCTTTTTTTTTTTTTTAAATCGTGTGTGTGTGTGTGTGTTCGTGTGGCATTGGGCTTTCTGAATAATCAGGGCTGTGCGGTGTCTCCGAAATCCGAAATTAGAAGACCTTGAAGTTGGTCGGCATGGCCTCGCCGTGTGCTTGGTTTAGGGCTGTGAACCCCTGCCAGTCCAAACCAGCCGCTGTTGCCTGTCAGATCCGTCAAGCCGGGCTAGGAGGCAGACTGCAGTCCCCTTCATGCCCGCTAGGCACTTGCTGGCTGAGCTTGAGGGGGAGGAGGAGTGTGGATAGCCAGTGTCATGTGCCTGCCACAGTTGAGTCTGCCTCACTTGCCTGTCGCACTGTCGAGTTGGCAGCCTTGAGCATTTCGCTTTCAGCGCCGTTTGGATTTTGGCGAGGGGAGATCAGCAGGTCAGCAGGTCGGTCGACTGCGCGGGATGGGTCAGGACCGGCAGCTGCTGCGCAGCAAGTCTAGGGCCTTCGCTCGCGCGGCGGAGAAAACCGATAGCAGCGGTTCTGGGTGGCCCGCGTTGTTGGTGCTACCGGTGCGGAGTGGGGGACAGCTACCATTCTAGAAGATGCGGCGGAAATAAGTCTTCTTGTTGCCAGCTGGAATGATAAATGTGCTGCCTCGTTGAGCTTTGACATTTGGTCATGCAATTAAGCAATTTTGACTGGTTCAATGGGTTTTTTGATTGATCCAACACCTTATGTTGTTGGAGAAGCCTTGGCCTCGGGCCTTGATTTCAGGTCTACAGGGCTCGTATTCAGAATGTTCGCCGCTGCACGGCAGCAGATGGGGGCTTGACCATTGCTCAACAATATTTTGGGGTTTACAACCTGCCCGGAGAGGCCGACAGGGCTAAACTTGTCCAGTAAGGACAAGATGGTTCCGTGTCATTCGCTTGTTGACTGACGGCATCCGAAGCACACTTTGCCTCAGGGTGCTTGCCTTTTGCTGGGACAAAACCAGGATTGTCATGTTCCGTGGTAGGTCCTTGGACAAGCATTTGTGCTTCACGCCTGGTCCCATGCAAACCGATGAACGCGAAAAAGCATGCCGCGTGCCACAATGAACCCAGAAGCGGAAGGGTCAGAGGCAGCAACGACGGCGGGCAAGGAGCCTTGTTTTGCAGCTTTTTTCAACTACTGCTTGAGTAAGGGTTTGGCCATTGGTTCAGCCAATCCGGCCTAGCCATGGTGTGCTTTCGGTGCTGCTCAAAGGGAGCGGTCAGCTCCCCGTGTGCGCAGGACACGGCCCGTCGGGCTCCCGGCGCATGAAGCGAAGCCCTGCAAGTGTTCCCCCATGTAAGAGTGCAGTGATTCCAAGCTAAGGGCCATGCTCTTCGTGAACAGAAATGGTTCATCTCGTTGTGTTTTGCCGCATGCTTGTTTGGACTTGTTTTTTGTGGAACTGGCGGTCAATGCCGCGGCTGCGCTGCCTCTTCAATTTGTACCCCCCCCCCCCCCGCGACCGCCCAATGAGGTGGTATCGTCAGGATGTCTCTACGTGGGTGTACCCCCCTTTTCTTCGTGTCTACTTCGTGTTGTGTGGCAATGACCCATGTTTGCTTTGAGATTGGGTGTTCTTTGTCCCGAGAATTTAGCAGCCTTTCTATTGCCCCACGCGAAGGCATTTTCTCCAAACCGCAGTTTTCATGGGCCCTGGGCCTCATCCATATGCTTGGGTGCAGGAAGATGATCACAGCTTCTCGCTAGGAGGACCTGTCCGACAGCGAGCTCAGCGAAGTGCGGGAGGCTCACCAGCTCAGGGCAGGGCACGGCCGACAGAAACGAGGAACGTTCGCTAGTGATCGACATGCCAAACTTGGCTTTGAGTTCGAAATTCACTTGGAACCACATTCAGCCAACAGCAGCTCTGCGCAAGCATCAGGCAGCAGTTGCCATTCTCCCATCTCATGCCCGCCTGAGACAGTCAATTTACCCCTGTCCCCCCGCTTCATATTCCCCCCCCTCCCCTCCCCCCACTTCAGGTTCACCTGCTTGAAGAAGTGCAGACTCACATGTGGTAGCATTCCGATAGCCTTGGCTCAACCAAGGGCCCAATTATACCGTTCCCATGCTTTGGCCAGGAAGTGCTCAACCACCAGCACGAGTGGGACTCTTTGCTGCTTGGCATGCGGTCATTTACTAGTCCGTTGTTTTCGAGCCGGGAGTTCAAAACAAGCATAGCTGGTTTGGCTTGTTTTGGGGGGCTCTTGGTTGTTTTTGGCTTTGTCCCTCCCTCCCCCCCCCAGGAAAAAGAAAGAACGACGAAACGCTACTCATCCCAAGGGCTTTTCAGATTGTCGTCTTGCTTGCTTACGAATCCCAAAGTCAGTGTCCAAGGAGATTGGACTTGCAAGGGTTGCCACAGTTGTGAGTCGCCATCTATGGCTATTTGGGTCTTTCACGGCTTCAGGCACTGCGGGCCATGCCGTAGTGTGCAGCAAATTCGGCATGCAACATGTTTTGGCCTCATGGTTGCGAGATGAGTGCGCCTGACCCCCCGAATTCGCTGGAGCTGTTTGTTTTGTTCCGCTTTACGCTGACAAACTTCCTGTGGACGCGGCAGTGGCAGGCACTGATTTGGGTGGTTCCTTCACAGCGATGCAAGCAGTTACGCCGGATTTGTCGGCAGCAGTTGGGCGTGGCTGGGAAACCTGGGGCGCGTCGTGCTGGCAAACATTTTTCGGTTTCTGGAGCGCTGCATTGTTGCATGACCAGTACTAGTCTAAGGTTTAGCTTTTCCAGTGACTTGGATGTCACTTATGCCGTACCTGACATGACTTGGACACGCACACATGCAGGGTGCATGTGAAACTGTCCATGCCTTTGACCCTCTAAGTGCCACAAGTAGGAAACATATGCAACATGAGCAACGATGCCGATGCCGAAGCCTGCACACCACGGCTGAAACTGTCATTGGGAAGATGTTTGAAGACAAGGGTTCTTTTCGGTTCCCGTTTGAGAAGCAGAAAGCCGCCAAGGTGTGGTTCCCGGTGTTGACAATGCCCGGCACGCTTCTGGGACAGTGCGACTCACCCGAGGTTCTTCCCCATAGACGCCTTGTGCGGTGGCGCCTCCGAGGAGGAGGAGGACGAGGATGAGGAGGGCGATGGCGACGTGGAGCCTTTGCTGGGGTCCTGGCTTTGCATGGAGCCTTGGACTAAAAATTGAGTTTGTCCTTGGGAAGATGGCCCAATGCTCGTTTGGAATCTTAGCACGTCCTGCAGCAAATGCGACATGCCGTCGTCCGTTTTCACGGAAGCGTATTGCATGTGCGCCTTTTTGTGGGCATGTTAAAAACAATTTGTAGTGTATGCCCGTAACCCGCGAGACCCGTTGGACGGAGCTACTTGATGCCTAGTGGAAAAGAGGCATGCCGTTCGGCGTCTGAGATTTGAAGAAGCCTGAGGACACGTGGGGGCTGGAGGAGTTTCTGAAAGCCAACAGTGCCTTGGCAGGGGCTGGAAGCACCGTGCCTATGGTCAGCGGCCGGATCAGTGAATCTTAGAGAGCTTGAATCTGCTAAATTAGGAACATGTGCATGTTGGTCTGGCCAAATGCCAACGAGAACGGGGAAACTTGTATGCTAATATGCAGACACTAGGTGTATATATGCAATCAATATGCATAATATGCATGTTTACACGCTCACACAGCCGTTAGTCCCAGTCCCAGGGCAACACAGCAATGCCCCCAATTGAATAGAGCAAGGCGCAAAGCCACACAAACTATTCACATGGTATGCTCACGATGAGTAAATCATTGGCTTCTGCCTGCAATGTTTAGGGCCGGCTCCAAAGGCAAAAGAGGGCATGTACAGTTGGTGTTGCACCCGAGCGTCGCACCTCCCTCCATACTTGGGCGTGAATGTGAAGGAGGGAGTCTTTGGTGGATATCATTTTCATGGCAGACCAGGCCCAACTGTTAATTCCTTGTTTGTGGAGGGACAAGGTCCTGTAGAATAGCACCAGACAGAGAGGGAGAAAAGACCAGATTTTGCGCGAGTGGGAGAGAAGCCCAAGGAGTACTTGCCAATTTCTTGACTCATGTTTCCTGACACGATCATTTGTTTCCTGACTTGGACTAGTCTCCTAAGATAAACCACCACTCCCAGCTAGTTGCCCATCGGCGCGGATTTTTTTTGAGCGGCTGAGACGTGAACCTGATCCAACGGAAGCTGGCGCTCAGCGCCAAGTGGCCGAGCTGGGACTTCGAGAGGACGGCGGGCGGCCTGCGCTTTGTGAACCGCACAATGCTGGGGGACCTGGTGGAGGAGCGGCGGGTGGGACGAACAGTCGGCACCAAATGGATCCCTTGGATAGTTGGAGGCTTTGATTTTTGCTCGGCCTGGCACGGGAATGCCTGTATGAAGCAAGCCTCTGGGTGCAAGTGCGCAGTGCCCGCTGAAAACGAGGTCGGCAGTGCAGCCTTCGTTGATCTTTCGAATGACGGCTGATCTTGGCAGGCTGCACAATCACAAGGTCCGTGACGCTCACGCGTACCAAGAGCAACCCCATGCAGGAAAGAAACTCCTCAAGATGGTGTGAATGTCGCTAAACGAGTCAACAAGACCCAGGCTGGGGCTGGATCCCAGATATGTTCCCGGTCCAGGGCCCGGCACCCCCCCATGTCATCCAGGAGGGAGGGGGGGAGCTTTCAAGGGCCGAGCTGCCGGCGTACTAAGCAAACGTATGAATTGTGGCAGACTTGTTGTGACACCTGATTCATATTCCGAAGGACCTCGTTGCCTGTTGCGAGTTGTTGTGTCATTGAGGTGCCCCGACAACATTCAAGCAGCCCTAGACCCTGACTGAAAAGGCAGCATTCGCCAAATGGCCAAGACACCCACACTCAAGCAACCCCACATCAACTGCAGGCCTGGAACATGTATCGTCAAATGCCAAGACTTGGCAGGGGATCCGTTGGTATTCATGTCAGTCAGATCCAGCATCCTCTGGCCTGTGTAGTGCCAGCTGCTCCGCAAATCCGGAGGCTTCGTATTGACTTGGGCGGCCAGGAAGTATGCTTTGACAGGGAGTATGAGAACAGAGATGGTCAGGGCAACCTTCTGAAATGCCGTGCCGATGCACGGCCGCAAGCGGAGAGCCAGAGAGAGAGAGAGAGCCCACACGAAAGAAAAGAAATAAAGAAAGAAAGAAAGAAAGAAAGAAAGAAAGACAGAAAAAAGGCAAGAAAATAAGCAAGCAAGCAAGCAAGCAAGCAAGCAAGCAAGCAAGCAAGCAAGCAAGCAAGCAAGCAAGCAAGCAAGCAAGCAAGCAAGCAAGCAAGCAAGCAAGCCAGCCAGCCAGCCAGCCAGCCAGAAAGAAAGAAGGAAGGAAGGAAGGAAGGAAGGAAGGAAGGAAGGAAGGAAGGAAAGAAAGAAATAAAGAAAGAAAGAAAAGACAAGACATAATGAACATAAACCGATAAATAAGGAAGGACATTAAATAGAGACACAAGTAAAGACACAAAATATGGAGAAAAGAAGACAATGAAGACAAAATGCAGAAAGAAAGCAAGAAAGAACAACACAACCTATAAATGCACATAAGTAAGTACATAATGAAAGCACCACGTAGAATGAGCAAATTCGTGAGTAAAGAAGAACCGAAATGGATGGATAACTAAAGAATGAAAGACTCACAATGAATAAATACATACATGAACAAATAAATACACAAATAAACACATACATAAAGTGCGACCCACAATAGATTTAAAATGAATACATACATAAAGAAATAACAACAAATCAATAGATAGATAAATCAACGTTCGGAATAAAAATAGCAATGTAGAACGAGATAAATCAACGGATAAAGAAAGGCAGACATGAAGTAAGAAATAAATAAAGAAATAAAGCAAAGGAAGAAATAGAAGGACAACAAAAGACAGAAAGACAGCAAGACAGAAGTAAAGCAAGATAACAAATCGAATAATCAAGAACGACCATAGCAAACAACAGAGAGGAAGAGACGACAGAAACAGAAGCAAGTCAAGACTCGAAAGAAGCAAGGAAACATGAAAGGACAGGAAGGACAGGCAGGAAAAGCAGGAAGCAACTGAACCAAACAAGAAAGGCATAGACATATCGAGACACAATCCATATTAACAACAGAAAGAAAACCACTTAAGACGACACGAGAGTAAACAGACTCAAAAGAAAAGCAAGCAAGACAAAGATGATGAATAAACACCAGAAAGGAACACAGAAAGACCACATCAATGGACACATGGATGGACTGCTTTGGAGACTGCATCCCACAAAAAAATAAGTTAGTGGAACACATGAGCGATTCAGTGAATGGACTGGAATGGAATGGACGCAACGGAACGTGAACAGGAGCGGGAAACAACGTGGACGACGCATTTTGGCCAAGGGACTGCAAACGTCTAAGAGTGCGGTGGGCACAGGTGGGCCGAGCTACGCAATTAGCCCACAAGGAGGAATCCAGAGCAGTTGTGCCGAAAGGCTGCCCAAATCCAGGGTTGTCCATGTTGAGGGCCTGCAGGCAAATTAGGCCGGGCCGGTTTCCGTGCGTGAATTGAATGACTACATGACCAATGAGCGTCTGCTTGCACAAATCGAAGAAGCACGTGCGGGTCAAAATCAAATTTATGTTGGCATCAGAGAATGGCAGAAATATCTTGCACGGAATCGAGCGGGAGACAGAGAGAGAGAGAGAGAGAGAGCGAGAGAGGGAGAGAGAGAGAGAGAGAGAAAGACACACAGAGAGACAGAGAGAGAGAGAGAGAGAGACAGACAAAGAGAAAGAGAAAGAGAAAGAGAGCGAGAGAGACAGACAAAGAGAAAGAGAGAGAGAGAGAGAGAAACAGAGAGACAGAGAGACAGAGAGACAGAGAGACAGAGAGACAGAGAGACAGAGAGACAGAGAGACAGAGAGACAGAGAGAGAGAGAGAGAGACATAGAGAGAGAGAGAGAAAGACACACAGAGAGACAGAGAGAGAGAGAGAGAGAGAGACAGACAAAGAGAAAGAGAAACAGAAAGAGAGAGAGAGAGAGAGAGACAGACAAAGAGAAAGAGAGAGAGAGAGGGAGAGACAGAGAGAGAGAGGGAGAGAGAGAGAGAGAGAGAGAGAGAGACATAGAGAGAGAGAGAGAGACAGACACACAAAGAGAAAGAGAGAGAGAGAGAGAGACAGAGAGAGAGAGAGATAGAGAGAGCGAGAGAGAAAGCGAGAGAGAGAGAGAGGGAGGGAGATTGGGCTGGCCGGACAGTACTCGTGTGTGGGGGGGGGGGGGGTGCAAATCAGTTGGGCTTTTGTATTGAATTTTGGTGTTGGCTGTTGCGTCAATACGCTGCATGTGTCTCCACATTCAGCCGGAATGTGTGGTTTGCTTCTTCAGGGGTGAACATAGATGACATGCGTGCAGCTGCACATTGCCTTCGTAAGCAGGGTGGGCATTGCTCTGGGCGGGAGCCCGCTTTGGATGAAGCCGACTTTGGAACAGGCCTTTCGCTTTCCTGGGTGCATTTCATGTTGACCTAATTGTCCAGTTGCCAGTTGCCAGATGTCCAGTGACGCCATGGTTTCATTCCCAGTTGCTTCCAGTTGAAATGGTTTGTTCAAAAGAGGCATCCTCTTCACCCTGTGTCCACTCCCTCAAGTGAGTCAATTTCCCCGCACCTTCACAACCAAGCATGCGAGGCAGGTTTAGGCAAGCTTGCCAGATGATACTTTTGTATGTTGCAGAGCACGGTTTTGTCTGGCAAATTTGTTTCTGTTGTGAGCTTGGTTCAGTCTAGCTGCTCCGTTCCTCGGCCGGCAGACTGTGTTCAATCCTTGTGCTGCTGGAGATGTCGCTATCACTCTGTGCTTTTGGCATGCCCGCTCTACAGCCGCCTAAGCCTAGGAATGGCTTCCCCAGAAGAGGGGGGGCTGCCTGCGCACTAGCCGCAAGGGCGACATTGGTTCCTGGGTGGAGGAGAGGCGCGGGATGCGTAGGCTCGCTTGGGGATCCCCTTGTGGAGAATGCAGCTTTTGGGGGGGTTCTGATTTCCAAGGCTGGTAATCCCTGGATTTTCAGATCAGAATGACAACTCCCCTGTCTGGTTGCGACTGGCCAGTCGCCAGCTGAAGGATCGAGTGTCAGACGCACCTAACACCAACACGTCTAAGCAGGATTCCAGGCAACTTCGAATGTGACGAAGCATTGTTCCAACCATCCGCTTCGCTTTGGCCAGGTCGGTGTCCGACGACAAGTTGAGCTTCAAGCTCACGCACTCCAATGGCGCCAAGTGGGGCCGGTCCTTTGTGCGGAAGTGAGCGGAGAGCTGCGGAAGCAGAGTGGGACAGGGATAGATAGGCCATCACATGTGTTCGGCGACAGTGGCGACGTTTGGGCTGGCTGGCTATAGACACAGCTTCCGTGTTTGGCATGCAAGATGTTGCTCATAATCGCATGGGTTTGTCGCGTGAAATGCGGTGAGTTTATTGAATCGGTACTGACACCCCGTCCTTGAAATGGCCTTTTGCATGGGTACGTGCTCCTCAAGTGTTTTTTCCCTTGTTTTTGGAGGGGTTGGACTGAGCCACACTTCGAACTCAAAAATAACTCTTCTTGATCCAGCCTTTGTGCCTCGCTCTCCTTTTGATCAGTATCCCAAACGCATCCTGCAAATTGGTTAGTGAATCTCCCTGTCACTATTCCGCGTGTAGGGTGGTCACAAGACCAAGCGTCAGCTACTCCGGAGTGGTGCCAACCTGGGAAAGATGTCTTGTGTCGATTTTGTACTTGTCAGACAAGACTCATCTTGTTTTGTTGACCAGCGCCTCGGCCGGCAATCGAGGACTTCGTTATGTTCTAGGGCATTGCTGCGGAGTTGTACCTTGCCCGGTGGACAATGCGCCACGGGACTGCGACCGAAGAAATGAAATCATACTCCCGACCGAGGGAGGGCTTTGGAAGTGAAACGCTGTCCTGTCCTGGCTGCCCTCGTCCAATCCTACGTTTGACGAGTTGATAATCAATCGGGTTTTGTCGGCCGGAAGGATGTGATGACAGAGCTGGCTTCTGATTCGCTTGGAATGCCTGCTGTGTCAGGTATCTTGCCGTGTCCCTGGCGTATCGCAACTGGCTTCTTTGAACGGGCCTTGACGCTTCCCGCCAATCGCCCAAGCGATGGCTTGACATGGAACCTCGCGCGGGCGCCCGGCCGCGAGGGCGGCCTCTGCGGCAGTGAGCCGCCCGGCAGTTCGCGGAGAATGTGGCGGGCCGCCCGGCGGCGGAGGTCCTGGCACTGTGGCAGTCCTTGCGGGAGGCGGGGACTCCAGCGCAAACGGGTGACCCAGTGTTTTTTTTTTTTTTGGGGGGGGGAAGGCAGACTTTCTACCTTTTCTTTTCAGATTTTCTACCAGGCAGAGTTCCTGGAATTTCCAGCCACCGCTTCTCTTCGAGCTTGTGGGTTGGGCAAATCGATGGGGCCTTTCAGGCACGTTGGGAAAGGCGGTTGGGATTTGGGCTTCGTTGGCTTTGGGAGGGATGCAGGACCTGGACTTGCGCTGCGCCGGCACAGCCATTCGGGAGATCGCAAAGGGAGATGGCGACATCGAGCCCTTGCTGCAGCACATCCTCAGTGCGGCTGAATCGGAGGAGTGCAGCGATAGCATGAGGCGCAACTTCCTCACGCCAGATGTTGTGTGGCCACAGCCAAACACTTTGCTGAACATTCCAGCATCGCCTGAGCAGGGCACAGTGTCGCACCCCCCGCCCTCAGTGGTTCAGGCCGAGAGGTTTGCGACGGACACTCCGGAATTGGGTTCCTCATTCTCTGCCATGCGCTATCCGGGTTATGCACGATCCATGCCTTCCTTGATTTGTTTGGCTGCTCACGGACGCAACGGCTTGCTGCCGTTCGCTTGACACTTCTCCCAGACCTCCAGTGGTGCCTGGCTAGGGGTTTCCGCTTCAAAGCCGGCTACCAACCGGCAGCCTCAGTTGTCGTCACGCGGAGCGTCGCCAGGGGGGGCGGCCTGCCGCGGGTCCTGGCCGGCGCTGCCTGGGCCTTGGCCAAGACGCAGCATGGCGGCGGGCCGGTGCTGCACCGTGCCGAAGCGGCGAGCCGGCGCCGGCTGGACGAATTTGCGCCCAAGGACTGGGCAGACGGCGCCGGTTATTGAAAACTTGGATTATGGTTGACCCGATGGACGGATGTGATCAACCCCTTGCTGTTAGCAGAAGATAGGCTCCTTGTCCTTGTCCTTCCTTGTCCTTCCTTTGCAGCCACACTGCGTACAGTTGCCATATGTGTGAGCAAACCCACCACCTGCGTGCCTTTTGGCGTCGTTTTTTTCATCCACCCCTGCCTGGGCCTGGCTTCGTGTTTCACCCTTGGCCTGCGCAGGACTTGGCCACTGCCGCGTGGGACTTCGCCCGGCCGAGCCGCCTCGGCGGCCAGGCCTTTGCCGAAAAAGCGGCGTAGCAGGCGCCAAAGCTCCTGGCACAGGTGGGGGTCATGGCCATGGAGTGCAGTGACCGATCCAAATGTTGCGGCTCCCCCGACTGTCGGATAGTTGGGGCATCAACTGCGCGGGTGTCTCCCAAAATGAGATGTTGCTGGAATTGTTTTACGTCTGTGGTCCTTTTTGTAGGGAGGACTTCTGGGGATAACTTCGGAGTTGCAATAAGGTTGCACTATCCAAGTAACATTGCTGAACAAGCGTAGATATCTTAGGTAGATATCCAGGTAGTACAATAACTATCTATGAATATCAAGCGCTGGCCCCGCCAAAGGCCTTCAGCACATGGCTGCTTGCTAATTCAGTTCAGCTCGAAGGTGTTGTTGTTGGTGGTCCGGGTATTTGTTTTGCATGATGACTTCGAAGAGGTAAAACGCATGGGGGCGAGGTGGACAACTTATCTATTTGATCTCGCACTCTCGCCGGGAGGGGTCTGCCTTGGGTTTTCCGCGAGGACGTTGCCAGCCTCGCCTGGGCCCTCGCCAAGACCAAGCCCTTGGAGCTGCCACTGCTGGCCTCTCCTTCGGAGGCGTTCCAGGCAGCACCGCCAGCAGAGCCGCCGAGCCCCGCCAACGTGGCGCCTCGGAGGTCTTGGTGACAGGTTTGCGTTCGACAGGCCACGCTTGCTTTTTTTGGACGGGCAGTGCATGTTCCTCGGTAAGGTCAGACAAGATCGTGGATCTAAACGGGTCACACTGTGCTCAGGCATGGCTTGCTCATGGCCAAAAGTCGCATGGCCACTTTTGGGAGGCACGTGAGATGGCAAGGGGTAATTACCTGCTAGGCTTGGGGGGCACGTGCTACTTGGGCTCCCTGTCGCTCGTGAGGCCTGGGCCCTTGCCCAGCCACTGGCACCGGGCCGCCCGCTCTCCGTCGCGATCTTGAACACGGGCGCTTTGGGCGAGCCTGAGGCGCAGCAGTTGGCCAGTCTGGCGCGGGGCACGGGGAAGCTGTCCCTTGGCGAAGTCCAAGTTGGCGAAGTTCGCGGTCCTTGGGGGTAAGGTGGCTTTGGCAAGCTGGCTGGCTCTCGAAAATGGGGGCCCAACTGGGTTTGTGAAGTATCAGATGTTCAGGATAGTTGGTAGGGGGTTAGATTTTCATCCAACAGAGTAGCGTGCGGCTTTGGACCCTCCCGGAGTTCCGGCGGGGGGTGAGCCCATCGAATCTGCTTCCACCTTGACAGAGACGGACTGGTGCTAAGTTTTGAGTTTTCGATTTTTGAAGTTGCTGTAAAGGGCACTGCCTGTGCTATTATTGCTCGGAAAGGACTGCAGCAGGAATGCCAAACACCCAAACCTGAGGACATCCAATATGCCTCCTCAGGCATCTTAGGCCCAGCAAGGATTTTTGAGCGACCGCTCGTTACATTTAGTCATGCGTACGCAGTGAAGTAGCACAAAAACACTGCTGTTATATCTGTTGTGGTGCGCGACGTGCCACTTTTTCCGACAGAGCAAGGCGGGTTTTGCCTGCCTGTGTGTGTGTGTGTGCGGTTGCTTGCGCATGTGTGGTGATTTTGCGCGGAATGAAGTGCCAAGGCTCTTCTCCGACCAGCGGCTGATTGCAGCGATCGTCCGCCAGGCACACCCGAGTGCAGCAGCATGTGAGCCAGCCAAGGGGCTCTTGGCCCTGGTTGGGACTTCAAGACCAACCCTGCCATATATCTCGGCCAAGGGTAGATTCTGGCCGTCACTTTGCGGTTTGCGCTGCGCCACATGCCACTTGCGATGCACGTCTGGCTGGCATCGCAACAAGCAAGAACTATCCATGCGCAAGAACTATGCCCTTTTTTGCACATCTTGCCCATATTGCGCGACGGAAAGAGGTATGCATCCCTCTCTTCGTCTTGAGGCGCCCTTCCACGAGCTTGACCCGCAGCAGCCCAGCAACAGGGCGCGGGCCTTGGCGCGGCTCTGGGCTGACGGCGGTTCGCTCTCCGGCGCCGCGGCGGCGGCGTTCGCGCGGGCGGCGCCGGCAGCGGGGCCCCAGGAGGTGTCCAACAGAGGCGCTGGCGGGGGGCGGGGGGCGGGGGCGGGGGGGCGTTTCACCCGCTCCAAGTCTCTGTGTTTGATTCTTGAAGATTGCCGGAATCGGTTCGCGTGCAAAAGCAGAACAGGCGGTGGCGGTGAATCCAAAAGATTGGATTGTTGTGTGCTGTCAGAACACCTCTCCCCACAGGATGCTTGGACTGAGTGCTTCCTTGTTGTTGAACATGTTCCGGGAGGACAAGCGCTAGCATAGCCTGGTCTGTCAGAGACACCAGCAGGATGTTCTTGCATTGCTCGTTGGAGCAGGTTCAGTTGCTGCCAAGGGGCGCCCGCGCTAGAATCAGGGTTGGGACGGTCCTAAGGTCAAAGCCATGCGCTGACAAAGCCCTCGCGACATGTGAGTGAAGATTCCACCTGGCAGGGTTTATTTTGGAACTCCGTGTATGAAACGCCGCAGGTCGGGCCTCCGGGAGCATCCTGCTTCGGCGCGAGCCGCTCTTCGCCGCACCCTCAAAGGCAGCCGTGGCGCTCTCGGATGAGCTGGATGCGCAGGGCTCGGCGATGCCGCTGGGACTCGAAAGCGTTGAAGGCACATGTAGCCTAAGGTATATAGCCCTGTGTGCCGTGCATGGCAGGCTGCTCTGAACTTAGTTGTTTGCTCGAGCCTGGCCCCCACATGAACAGTTTGAAGATACAAGCCATGTTTGACTTGAGACGCTTTCAAGTGCATGTGATGCAATGGCATTATTAGGCGACTCGTTCGAAGTGATTCAGCAGTGAAGAGCGACTCTTTCTGTCTTCATGATAGGCAGTCCATGATGATTACTTTTCGCAAAGCTTACCCAGTTATGTTGGGTTGCAAAAATAATTTGCGGTTTTTGCAGTGCGCTTCTATCAGCTTTTGCCTAGGAACTTTAACTAGGTTGCTGCTGCTTTGGCATCGTCCCTGTTGATGTTCTGCCTTCCAAGAGTTTCCTCGGCCAACAGCTGCCATCAGGGAACCTCGATGTATGATGCAACAAGCAAAGCACGAGGGCCACGCAGCTGAGGCTGGCATGGGCGTTTGCTACCTGCCAGTCGCGGGATGAGCCGCTGTTTGCAATGATCGGCGGGCACTTCGAGCGCTTGGAGGGCGAGCTGGGCGAAACGCAGTAGCATGCCTGCAGCCTGAGTTGAGTGGTGGAGGCGGTGGTATCAGCGGTGGTGGTAGTGGTGGTGGTGGTGGTGGTGGTGGTGGTGGTGACATTGAGTTGGAAAAGTACCCGTAGCAATGACTGGTTGGTCATAAGTCTGATGTCAGCCAGTACCGGTCGTTCGACTTGCCGTTTGGAAGCTTCAGGCAGGCAACCTTCGGTTGAAGAGCCCGTGGCCCATAGCGCTTCGCCATGACATGTTGCACATGACATGGGATGGGATAGTCAAACAATCAGGAGAAGAGTTGTCGTTGGCTTGCTTGGTTCGAACAGAGGTTATAAGTTACCTTTAAGCAGGCCGCTACATATGCAGCTAGGCGGTAGGCACCAAGAAACAACATAATAGGCAGCAGAAAGATGCTACCGGATCGGCGCCAGGCACCTTGCCATCGCAGCCTGGTGTTTTGCCACCGCCGTTGTTCGTGGCCCGCTGCTTCTGCGAGCCGTGGCGCGCAGCGCGCCAAGGGCGACTGAGCTTGGCGCGCAGAGCCTTGCGAATGTGGCGTTGGGGCGCGCCAGAATGGCCCTCCGCGACGGGGCAGCTTGGCTTTGCAAATGTGACCGGTGTGACGCTGTGCTGCCAAAATGTTTGCACCATCTTCCATTGGGTACAAGCTTTGCCTGCTCGCGGGTTTGACTCGTTTTTCTTTTTGCTGCTGGGCCGTCTGCACTGGCGATCTCGCTGGCTCCGTGGCTCGCCATTTTCGTCGGTCTCCCTTATGTTGCGAGTTGAACTTGGGCGGATGAAGTTCTTTTTGCAAGCAGCGCTTGTGGCCTTGGGCTGCCTGAGGCTCTGCTGCAGGCCGCGGCCGGTGCGGTGGTGGGGAAGATCTCGGAGCGCCAGCCGCTGAACCTCGCTGGGAAGCCATGCTTTGACACACTCGTTTTTTCTTCCCAGACCTTTGAGGGCTTGACTCAATACGTCCCATGCGCAGTGTTTTAAACGATTCGTCAGGTGCTGTGCGTTATTTTTGACACTAAGGAACCTCTCCAACATTGTCCGGGCGCATGCCTCGCTCGCCTTGGAGGACCGGCCAATGCTGGACGCGATCGCCTCTGCAGAGCTGACTGGGCCTAGTGCACAGCAACCGGCCAACAGGCCAGGAAACCGTTGGGAAAGATGCAGTTTGAAATGCCGAGCGTGCTTTTGTTGACGTAAGCCAAATATCCTGTCCATTGTTTTGCAAGCCTGCCCATTTCTGGACAGGCTGCAGGGCTCCGCAGTGCCGGGCCTGTTGGGGAAGCCGTGGGCGCAGTGCCACAGCCAGCATGCCCTGCCTCTGCTGCCAGAGCACACGCCCCAGGGCCCCTGCAACACGGCGCGGGCCTCGGCCAAGTCGGCCGCCTGCGGCGAGGGGTTGCTAGGCGCCACTGGCCGGGAGGCGGCCACGCAGCTGCCGCGGCTTCAGCCCCAGAACTCTTCCAACTTGGCCCGGGCCCTCGCAGTGCCCGGCTCCCTGAGGGAGCCCTTCATGCGCACCTCGTCCGCCGGCTTCCTGCCGAAGCTCGGGGAGTTTGACGCCCAGGCGCCGACGAACACCATGCGGGGCTTCGGCAAAGCGTCGGAGGTCCCGCGGGAGGTGATGGATGGCATGCTGGCACGGGCGCAGCAGCAGCTGGGGCAATGGAATCCGCAGCATCCTTCCAGTTTTTCTTGGGCTTTGGCGGCTGCGACCCCCAGGCACGTCTGAACATTCTGATGGATCGTCCATGCCATGTTTATAGGACAAGCACCTGCGATGCCTTCGCCCGATTGTTAAACCGCCCAAAGTACAATTTGTGTCTTTGGAAAAGCGTATTTATCAATATGGTCTCGGGGGCGTCAGGGGGTTTCCACTCCAAATCCAGTGTCAAGAATAATTCGTTTGAGGTCCTAGAAAATGCGTTGCTGCCACATGAATCCGCTCCCCATTAATACACAAAAAGTCACGTCGCCCTTTACTTTGACTTGACCCAATACTATGCCACTGCTAAGCCCTCATTTAATTTTGGTTGTTTTGATTTGGATCGATAAATCCAACAGGTGCCTGACCGGTTCCAGTCCCCAAATATTTTGCAGCGAGCTCCCATGCTCACAGATGGGCCAGGATGCGGCAGTCAAACCGGCAGGGAGGGATCACTTGTCTATGACACTGCTGGAAGTTTCTATCCTTTTGCCCCGCGCTTGCAGTAGCAGTCCATTGCCTTGTTGGAGCATTACAGGTCGTGAGGGCTGCCTTGAAGTCATTCTTTCTTTTGCCAGGAGTTCTAGGGTAAGCACGGGTCCGACACACCTTATGCCCCGGAACGGTGCCCCTTAGCAGGCGCTTCCTGCTTCGCCCGTGAGGTCCCGCAGCTTCTTGCAGGGCGTCGCTGAGCAGTTGGCCCTGAGAGTGGCCGAGCGCGGGCCCCAGGATCCCAGCAACGGCGCGCGGAGCTTTGCCCGCTCGGGTGCCGTCCGCTACTGCATGATGGACGCGACCGCAGAGGAGGCAGCCAGAGACTTGGTCTTTGTGTCCGAAGCTTACGCCTTTTCTTTGGTGGTTTTCAAGCAAGCCAGCAGGAAAACCGCCATGTTGGGAGTCCCCGAAAAAGCCACACACAAGCAACCCAGTTGTGCTTTGGCTCAACTTTAGGAAGATGTACAGCACTGTAGTTTGTACATGTTCGCGTCGCGTATTTCAGCATAGCTTGAAGAGTTTGGTCGAGCAACGGTAGATGTCTCCAGCATGTCCATCATTACATACACATGGCGCTGAGACCTTCAAGAAGACGTTTTTCCTTTGCTTCGAGGCCGCTTTTCCTCGGCCCAAGCATGGAATGACGCCTGGCTGAGGACAGGCGCACCTCTTCACGGCGCAGAACTCGGCCAACGCGGCCCGGGCGTTCGGCGCGCTGCTGCCGAGCGGCAGCAGCCTGAAGCGGCTGGCCGCCGAGGCGGCCGCGAGGCGCGGGCCCAGGGAGCTGCAAAGCCGAAGCCGATGTAAACGGCGTAGAATGGCGTCAAATGCCGTAAGGCCAACCAAAAAACTGCAAGTTCTGTTTTTGTTTTGTTTTGTTTTGGGGGGGGGGACGCCATCAGAATTGGTGTCGATCTGAAAGTCTGGGTGACTCTTGGGCATTGGGCCGTGCTCGAAGGGCTGATCCAACCGCCAACCGTCTCCCCAAAGTTCAGGTGCTCGGAGTTCACGGCGCAGAACCTCGGCAATGCCGCCTGGGCCCCTGCCGCCCCCGCGCACGAGGGTGCCGCCTTGTTTGGTGCCACCGCGGCTGCCTCGGCTGCTGTCGAGGCGGGCGCGGCGCAAAAAACAACGGGATACCCAGGATCGAGTCAGACATGTTCAAGGGCCCAGACGGAAGACAAGCGGGGAAGACATCAGGAAGCTCCGATGCTTTGCTGCTGTGCTTTGGTGGTGTCACGTTTCGCACCGTAATCGGATTTGGGGAGCAACTTTGTTCACTGTAAAAGCCGATAACCCGCATAGGAAAGAGTGAATATTTCTTCACCTGGAAGCAAGTGGTTTTTGCTGGCTTGCCTAAGCGCTTCAACGCACAACATTACTACTGTCACAATACAACCCAACAGCGCACCAACGAAATCAGCCACGGCCGCCACAACTCGAACGCCACTGCTTCGTCCGCAGGTGTCCAGCAGCGATTTGCAGGCGTCGGGGAAGTTTTGCTGGTTCATATTGCATCTTGCCGGACTGACACAGGAGCCATTCATATGCCAGATCCATGACATTTAGGCAAACACCCATGAAGCTGGCATGCCGTTTTTTTTCTTCCTTCCTTGGCTGGATGTCGCCAAGCAATGCTCAGGCCAGTGGGTGTTGGCGATTGTTTTTGGGCTGTGGGCTCAACGCCAGGCGCTGTCCCTCTTGGCAGACCTTCCACTTGCTTGCCCTCAGCTGCGAGACGCTGGGGCACGAGAGGGGCAGTGCACTGTAGAGAAATAGTAATCCCATCATTTGACCAGAGTCAGCCTGAACAAGCTTAGCACTGCATATTTGTGCGGGTCACTTGTAGAGACAAGTGCTCTTCTTGATTTAGCTATTCTGGGCATTTGTTTGGCAGGAACGTTTGTTTTAGTGTGTGTGTGTGTGGGTGGCAAATATTTATGTGCCCGTATGTGTGGGAAAACAGCTTGGACAACCTTCCTTCTGTCTGCATCAACTTCAGCACCTTGAGCTGTGCGTTCTTGAAATTGGTTTGGGCCACGGGAGCCTCCGGGAAATGCACAGTGCTGCCAGGATGAGCTGATTGCTCCGACCATTTCCTTTGCGCCTCAGATCCAAGGACCGTCTCGCTGCAACTGTGGATGCCATTTGGCACCACTTCCCCAGAGAGCTTTGGGACATTGGCCCGGATGAGGCGCCATGCGAATCGAGCGTATGGGAACGACGCGGCGCCTTTTTTGGCCCCTCAAGTTCGAGAACTATGGCGGTTACCAGGGAAGCCTCTTGTCCGGAGCCAAAGCCAACACAAAACCAACCGATAGCCATGTGATGGTGACAGCACTGCCAGAAAGCCTCTAAGAATCCTCCAGCCCACTCAAATACAAGTCGCGAAGACTACATAGACTATTGGAAAACTAAGGCAAGACCAGGGCAAGAGCACGGGAAAACAATCAAAAGGAACAACAGTCGATAGCGATTCTAAGATATAAGGTTAACTTCATGGTTGCTTCCAGAAAGGGGCACACATGGATGGCTTGCAGAGCGGCATTCTGTGCATGGGTGATTTGTGATTGCTTCCCCTGTGTTCACTTTCACCGGCGAAAGGTTTCCTGTGAATGTTGCTTCCACGGTCCTTTGCGTGACCTCAGAGTACAAGCAGTGCTGCGGCCAACACAGTGCTTCCAGACGCGTGATTGCGATCCCGTTTGTGTCTCCAGCTCGGCCTTGCTCCCGGTCATTGCTCCCCTCCGTTTCTTGTCTCTCTCTCCCTCTCTCTCTCTCTCTGTCTGTGTCTCTCGCTCTCTTACGTGATTTGTTTCTGTCCCTGGCCTTGCATTCGAAGCATACGTTGCATGACATGATGGTTCCTTTGCACCATCCACCGCATGAAGCGGCAGAGGCGTTCCTTGAGTACATTTGGCAGCTTGGCGCAAGAAAGAATGCCCGCAACGCCTGTTGGTTCGCTGTTTTGATCAATTGGAGGAGGCTCGTGGCCAGGACTAGTGGCCGGAGATAAGGAACGTTTCTTCTTTGCTTTCTTTTCGTGCTGCTGAGCCTTGTGGCTGGTGCAGTCCCATGGCTGTCAGGAACAAACTGTTGGGCTCTTGGGCAAAGCTGGGCCTTCGAATTGTATTGGCCATCATGCAGCCCTAAGCGGAGCAGAACCATTCCAACGGTGTTGCCTTTCCCAATGCTTGGGAAGCCCAGGTGTGTCAGCATAGGCAAATAATTGAGCATCCCCGAGGTTCATCAAACAATTAGCGCCCTTTGTGGGATGCATCCCTGAGTCAGAGGTCACTGAACACTGACAACCTTGGCTGCACTGGGGATCGCCAACTCCTTCACGAGATGGGCGTAGAGGTAGCTTGGATCAACTATGGTCGCGCGTCAGTTCAGACTTCTTCAGGGTTTGTTGTTTCCTGAGCCTCGCGGATCATCCATTGCACCCATTTGCACCCATTTGCATTTCGACTACTTGGGCCACTCAAGAAGACATTGCCTGATGATTTTGTTGCTGCCTGTGGTTGCCTGGTTCCTCCCCCCCGGGCACAATACTTATGAGGGGACGCTGAGGAGGTGCGAAGTTTTCCACCCGCCCCATCCCCATCTTTGTGTGCAACATCACCTCCCGGAGGCTCTTGCCCCGAACAGCGGCTTTGAGGGGCGGGCGCTGGAGATGATTTCCGCCCACCGCTCCGAGAATGCTTGGGAGGACGGGGCTGATGAGGCCGAAGCTCACGCGAGTTTCTGGGCCTGGTAAACGATCCGAGAAGTACAGGGCCTGCCAAGACTTGCTTCAAGAGTGAGCCTTCAACATGTTTTTTTTCTGATGAAACGCCATGACCGAACTGGTTTAGGCATTGAAATGTGTGTGTTTCCATACGCGCCAGGACGTCCTTGGGTCCTTCATTCTTGCGTAAATTGAAGTGTGGTTTGTTGGTTTTGTTTGAGCACCATGAATCGAGCTCCATCGGTATTGACGTGCAATGGTGATTTACCAAGATACAACTGTTCATGAATATAATTGAGGTTCATTGGGCAGAGGTGGAAGTCAAATTGGTCGAGCCATGTCATTCGACCAGTTGTTTTTTTGCATAAGTACTCTAAGTATTGGCTCCTCAGATGGCTGAAGTGATGCCTCAGCCGACACCCTGCAGGACCCAGCAGAGTTGACCTTCGGAGGCCCAGTGAGGAACCGCCGGGTCTTCAGACGCTTGGCCGCAAGCGTGTGTCACAACTCTTGCCACCGAAGAAGCCATGGAATGATTCGACCCCCCTGTAAATGCCAACAAGCAGTGGTTTCAACCACAGTTTCTTAGGTGCAGCGAAATCGATTTCGTCCACAGTATCTGGCAATCGGTTGGAAGATATTGGAGGCCGAGCCCAATTTTCTGCCAGCTCGTTGCCGTGCAGGCTATGCAGAATACCGCTTGGAGGCGCCGCAGGCAGGATGTTCGACTCGAAGCCCGACTGTGAAGCAGGGCACCCCAATGTACTGGCCATAGGTGTCCTTTTTGGCTGTTTTGGCAGAAAAATAGGTGGCACTGGTTTACCTGGTGGTTCAATCATCTACCAGGGCCATCTATTCCCCCTAAAAGGACACCTATGGCACTGGCCCGATGCCTGCGCAAGTACTTCCATGCTCGTTTCGAGCCAACCTCAACATTTGCATGTATTGCAGGCACAACACTTGCTAGGTTTTGTAGCATGTCGGGCTCCCGTCTCATGTGAATGGAATCCAGGGGGAGTTCGCTGCGGGACGTGCATGAAACTACAGCTATTCCTTTATCAAGCTTTGCATCCCACAGTCGAGCCCACGTGGGAAAGATGGTGTTGTCACAAAGCCAGAACAAGACCTCGTCACACTATGAACCTTGCACTGAGCCTGCCCAGGTGCTAGAGGGTGCTCTGCTGCAGGACCCGGAAGCGATACGACCTTTGAAACAGTCATGGGTTCCATGTCAGGGCTTCATTTGCATCTCAAGCTTGAAGACTGCGCCTGTTGGTTGTCCCAGTGTTGCTTTTGTGCTGTTGTCTTGCTTGGTCAATGGCAGCGAGCCCAACTGACGGGCGAGCCCAACTGACGGGCGAGCCCAACTGACGGGCGAGCCCAACTGACGGGCACCCAGAGATGGAGCGCATATGCCAGTGAACAGATGGGTGGCATGGGTTGCACAACTGGAGGGACAGTTCTGGCAATGCTGGCCTTCGCTGCGGGCCTTCGCTGCATTGTTTGTAATCTTAGTTTTGACAGAGAACCTTCCTCCTAGTGAGCCGTCCCAGAAGCATCATCGATGGTGGGCCAGGAGGGAACTCGGTACAGAAACCTTATATAGAAGCTCAGGAGAACGGCGCCAGAGTGCTGAGCAACCAGAGAAGCCCGCTACACGCCGTACAGCTTCCTGCTCTGCATTGGAGTCCAGCTCATTTTGATGCCCTGTTGTTCAATGACATTCACCAGGCCAAGCCACCATATATAGTGTGAGCTAAACTGAGGTTCCGTCTCACATATTGCATCCATTGTCGCAGTGATTTCAAGAATTATAGGGGTTACTGGGATGATCTTACACTGCCCACCCCTGTGGTCTTTTTTTTTTTGGCCAAGGTGGTAGCAAGCTCACGGGAGTTATTGGATAAAGAGGTCGGAGACGGCGTTGTCCAAACTGGGCGTGATGATTTGCCCAGGCGTAGAAAGCTTCAGTTCATTTTCCAAACATTGTAGGTGGCCAGCCCGCCGCAGGGCCGCCATGTGCTGCCTGTTTTTCAAACCTGAAGCAGGATAGACAAGACTTTTCCTGGTTGCCAACCCAGCCAGTAACCAGCCAGCCCCAGCCCTCGTAACAGAAAACACAAAATTGTGAAAAGCAAAGTTCAAATAAGGAAAGTCCATGTGGTGCCTGCCATCCGCGATCCGCGATCCGCATGGCTCAAGCCTGCTGCGGTTTCAGGGCAGGCGCTGCTGGCCCAAGATGCCCACAGTCAGCCCGAGCCTCATAAGGTCTCGGAAGATAGTGCCCTCATGGAACAACATGCGGAAGATGTGGCAGGGCAGTTGGGGCTGGAGAGTAGATGCGCGCTGCGTTTTTTTGGGGGTTTTTGGAGGGACAGTTACTGGGAGCCTAACAGCGCCGTCAGATGAACACATGCTTACGTAAAGGTTTGCCTGGAGCCCAAATAGGAGAGGAACCAGAGGGCAAATGGTCATCGGCATGGTCGTATTCGGGCAGAGCAGGCTTCTGTCCCGAGGCGTGTTCTACGACTGCTTGCAGAAAGCCTTAGGCGATGATGTGACAGAGGAGAGTTTTGATGAGCTGCTCGGCAGAGTTTGCATGCTGGGTGTGGGTTTTCATACCCCCAAGTTTTGGCCAACTTGCCCCATGCCTTTTCCAACGTTTAGAAGGCTCGTTGCCCATGTGGGGCGGGACTTAGGGCATTCTCGCGATGTCGGAAATGGAGTGGGACCTCAACCGTCTAAGGGTTAGCCCTCCAAGCCCTTGTCAACATTACAAGGATCTTGAAGGGGGGCATGTTGCTTAAGCAACGACTTTGCATTTGGATTGGCATGGCAAGGCCAGATTGGAAGGCAGGTTGTGGGAGTTCTTTGCCCGAGTGCCCGCGGAAAACCCAAGCGCCATTTGTCGCGGTTCGAAGTGCGAGGCTTTGCTTCGAGTTCGGCCTGGAGTTGGATGATGTGACATCTCAAAAGGAGATGGCGCCTTGGACTTCAAAGGTGAAGAAGCAGACAACTTGTCGCCACAAGAGGGGGGGCGCCGGGAGGATGAAGACTTAAAAACAACAGCTGCTGACTGTGCTGCCTTCCGGTTCCTTGTGCTCTCAGCATGTGTGCATAAGAAAGCGCTCAAATATCAGGGCCTGCCGCATCCGCAAACGGCTTAGCACAAGCGAATTGAAGGCCAGGACGTTGTCAAACATGACACTGTCCCTAAGTTTGCAATCCACTAAGACAGGCAAAGCTGGAGCAACTATCGCAGTCTGGGTGCTTTGCTTGCTTCCGTGCTTCATGCAAGCTATGCAAGAGCAAAGGGGCAGCCCTCGAAAGAAAGAAGCAAATCAGAACTTGTGAAGAGCCCAGGTGGAAAGAGAGCAAGGCGCCGATAAAGCTGCAGGCTTGAGCGCAACTTGGCGGTAAGGAGGGGGAGGGACTTGCCACCTGGTGCTTTTGCTTGGCAGGCAAGCATTGGGAAGAACAATGGCAGCCCATCACTGCTTGACTAAAGAGTTAAAGCCACTCATAGATGAGCACAAGGTTTGCGGAATTTACGGTTGGTTGGGAAGGGGACATGTTCAGTGCTGCAAACGCTTTGCATTCGGTCATTTTGGCATTGACGTGCGGCAAGGGGAACATTTTACAACGAAGTGGTTGTATGTACGGAGAATCCTCTGAAGCGCAGCGCTGGCGGCAGCAGCGTATCTGGAGTCAGGGCTACAACAAAGGAGGAAGCAATGAAGTGGCTAGGGTAATCAGAGGGACAGCTGCGAACCATGCGGGCCAGATTCTGGTTCTAGAATGCATGTGCCAGACTGAACACCTGACGTGTCATGAAGGTCGAGTGTGAGCCATCAAACGGAGTTCTGACATGCACCCAGCTGGTTGCTTGGCTTGCCTGGGTGGCTTTGCTGAGCATATCACTTTCAAGGATCGCGTCATCTTCAAGGTGGATGTGCCTGCCAACCGCTACGATCTCCTTTGCATCGAGGGCTTGGTCGCTGGCTCAGTTTGCAGATGTGTGTTTTCCATTCTTGGGTTCTCAATTGTTTGCTGGAATTCCTAGTGTTTCTGTCACCGAAGGCGGCAACAGGCTAGGCACCAAGCAGCGAAAAGCAAGCAAATTGTGGCTTTGGAAAGCCAGCAACAAAGCAGCTAAGATACAAACAACAACAATGCAGGCCAGTGACTCTGAGGGCGCCTGCTGCAAGGGGACACTCAGTTCCATCTTCCAATGGTTGAAGGGCAGCCAGCGTTGTTTGCAAGCAGCTGAGCAAGCCCGATGGACGCGCCAAACAAGGACTTGGACACCATAATGCGACAGCCTGAATTTGCACCGAGGGACACAAGCAAATCCTTTCGGCACCACAGTGCCACAGTCATCTTCACCGTTGTCAGTTGGCCCTTGGCAACAGTAGCGGTTCCAAACCTTGCGCTTGCCCCTTTGATTTGCGGACGGCCCTTTCCGAGTCCGTTTGGCCCCATGGGCCGGCTTTTGGGCCGCCCGGGTTTCTTGAAACCCAAGCGATGGGCTTCGAGCCGAGGTCAGGGCCCTGCAGATCTTCAAAGGCACCATGGCCGCCCCGCTCTACAAGCTGTCCAGCCCAAATCCACAGCCGCAGATGCGGCTGACGGTGAAGCACCTCGGCCTGAGATGGACATGATGTTGGCTTGTTTTCAGGGTGGCTGCGGCTGGCCCAGGAAGGAGACGGCTCAGATCAGACCCTTCGTGGTGGGCGCTGTCTTGCGGGGCGTCACCTTCGACAAGGACAGATACGACAGCTTCATCGAGTTGCAGGACTCGGGGTGGTCGAGCAACTTTTCCTGCCTGCCGGTGTTGCATTAGCACGCACGTCAGAAATCAGACCATTCTGGTCGGTTGGATGTTGGTCATCATTCATTGTAAAGCAAGCCTTTCAAAGGTAAAATTGACGCAAAGCAATGGCTGGCTATCATCTTCAGCCACTTCTCTCGCAAGATGCATTGTGCACCATGGTTGAGATCAAGCATCCCCCAGGCATGTGGCTTCGCATCGTTCTCCCACGCATCCCCTGTATAGCGAGGTATTGATTTGGATCGGTCGGAAAGAACGACAAAGCAGACCTAGCCTGCACAGTCTCAACAACACGTCCTTGTCCCAACTATCTTGCCGTCCGAGGGTACCAGTGTTCCACAGGTATTCCGTATTCCCGCCTACTTCAGAGGTTCTCCATGTGTACCTGCTGGAAACTTGTTTCAGAATGACTTGATACCCTTGTTACGCTCGACTCAGCATGTTGCTTCGCCCTTGCGAGGACAAGTTGCACGTGAACATTTGCAGGAAGCGGACCTTGGTGGCTATTGGCACCCATGACCTGTCCACCTTGAAGCCGCCCTTCACCTATGAGGCGCTGCCTCCCAAGGACATCCGCTTTACTCCGCTGAAGCTCGTCCACAGTAGGTGTGCTTGTGAGCTTTGGAAGCCCCCAAGCAAGGGCGCTAGCAAAGAGCCTACGTGTCACAGTAGCGCTCACATGCCCCACGGAGGGAACGACTTAGGTTTCAAATTGCTCGATGCTTGCAGTAGATCTTGGCCAGCAATTTGTTGCTTGAGCGGGCCTGACTCCGAGCAGCTTAGGAACCAAACAGAGGAGATGGATGGTAACAGGATGATGGAGGTCTTGTCTAGCCACCAGCAGCTTAAGACCTATTTGCCCATCATTCGGGATAGTCCTGTTTACCCAGTGACCTGGCTGCATTTGCTTCGTACCTCTGATGCCGGATGTTAAGAATCTGCAGTGTTTTTGTTCTCTTTGCTTGAGCTGTGTCATTTTGGCATGTTTTGGTTCGAGGTGATTTACGATAGCAACCGCGTGGTCTTGTCCCTGCCGCCTATCATCAACGGCGAGCACTCGAAGATTAAGCTAGAGACCAAGGATGTCTTCATCGAGTGCACGGCCACGGACCTCACCAAAGCCACCATAGTGCTGAATACGGTGGTCACGATGTTCGCAGAGTGCCCTGTTCGAGGGAAATGTAACACAAGAAGCGCAACATTGCCCATGCTTCCTGATGCAGACAGATTGCCATTGACACACTTCAGGCCATTTTCTATGCTTACGATCGGCAGAACAGCTGCATAGAATGCCAAGAGACACAACACACATGATGGTACCACCCAGGCGTTGGCATGGAGCCTGCCAACAAAAGGCCCAAAGAAGGCTGCATTGTTCAATCGCAGAATCACTGCGTGAAGCTTTGACCTAAACATGCATGATTGTGCGGAAGGCCCCTGTTTGACAGAGGGTTGCTAGCAAGAAGTAGTGCCAAGTCCCTCATTTCAGTTCAATTTAAGTCTGCCACGGAACCTGTGATGGCAACCCACCAGTATCAGGGTGGGATTTGCAGACAAGCTGCTGTCGGCATGCTGCCACTCCCAATCAAACCGTGGTGAGCGAGCGAATCGGTCCACGAGCCAAGCCAATATAGTGCGGAAGTCCCACACCAAAAAAACACAAGAATCCTTTTTTTCCTCTGGCATGTTCTCAACATTGCTTTTGACATGTTCTTCTAAACGGAGGCTTGGATGCCGGAAAGGGAGCAGGTGCCGTGCCTAAGATACGTCGCCCTGCGCGCTGCAAGGTACTGCACGGAGCCCTTTGTGGCGGAGCCCGTGGAGGTGGTCTACGAG